CTCTTCTCCATCATTCGTACTCCACGCCCTGTCCATCTCATCCTCCTTAACTTGATCATTCTAATTATACTTGGAGAAGAGTACAAGTTATGAAGCTCCTCATTATGCAGTTTTCTCCAACCTCCTGTCACTTCTTCTCTCTTCGGTCCAAATATTCTCCTCAACACCCTGTTCTCAAACACATCCTCAGTCTGTGTTCCTCCCTTAATGTCAGAGACCAAATTTCACACCCATACAGAACCACGAGCAAAATTATATTTTCGTATATTCTAATTTTTATGTTTTTGGACAGCAGACGAGAAGACAAAAGGTTCTAGACTGAATGGTAACAAGCATTACCCGAGTTCAATCTCCTAATTTCCTCCTGGATCAAATGTTGCTGTGTTACTGTCTTTCCCAAATACCTGGGGGAGGGGGGGGAGGGAATTGATGAGCCCACAACGCAATAATTTCCTTCCTAATATATGTCGGTCATTCCCCCGGCTCTTTCTACTGATCTAGGGCGTCTATCTGAAAAGTCATTTCCGCCCCTGCTGGTCATTGACATTTATTATCAGTAGTCAGCGCAATTTGTGAAGTTAACAGCTCAGTCAATATAGTGACTAGGCTATGGGCGGAACGACAGGCGAGTCACAGATACACTTACACATTCTTGCCAGATCTGCTTTAAGGCAATGCAGGGTCCTATGCAAATATGATTTTTGCCCCCTTCAATAACTTTTCTTTTACAAAAAGGAACCTTAGAGTATGATAAAAGGTAAAGTTGTCCCTGTGCTTAAATACTTAAGCATTACGCCATGAAGACGTATGGGGGAGTGGATGTATAGATCCACATTTTCTTTACTTCGAAGCTAGCTTGAGTTGTCAGCTTCACGCCCCGGCCGCTTTACCCCTCCGTACTCACTGGATAGGAGTTTTGGTGTACCCCAGAGCCTGTCTGGACGACGTGGAGAAAATTACGACCCTACAGGGACTCGAACTCCGACCTCTCGGCCGTCCAGCCCGTAGCCAGTCGCTATATCGACTCGTCTAACCAGGCTCCCTTACAATATGATACAAATCCAAAATATATTTCTAATATCCAGGGCCCGGATTTTGATGACATGTCATCTTTTTTTCCTTGTATCCTATGCGATGCTCTTAAATATATAAATCTCGGATATGAGCTGCTGGTTACAGAAATGTAAATTTTATGGGCAATTTTTTGTCATTTTTTGACATTTTTAGGTTTAAGGTCTTTTTTCATTTGGGGGGGTAATTTTTTGGTAAATTTTTGGACTTTTAAGGGTATTTCTTGTCATTTTTGGCCATTTTAAGGAATTTTTCTTCATATGTTTTCTGAAATGTGAATAACATGGAAGCGAAGTGTTCTTTCTTTTCTCTTTAGGTCATTTTTTCCGGGCCCTGCATATTACATTTTTGGGTCCTATTTTAGGTCATTTTTCTGGATTTTTTTCGGTCATTCTATAAATATTTTCAGGTCATCAAAATCCGGGCCCTGGTAATAACAAAAGCGAAAAAAGGATATGAAAAGCTTAAGAATATATAAACCACAAATTATCTCGGTCGAAATTGATTTTTTCGAAACACATCACTTAACACTTTATATATTTGGACGAGAAATATCAAATGCCAAACGTACCAAGGGGTGAGAGGAAGAATAAAATAAAATAATTTTGTGCTGTTCTGTGCTCGTCTACTGCCCTCATATCTGAACAGAAATTACAAGCCGAACTAGTCACTAAACATGTTGGGTTTGAGGTTCTCACGGGGGTTAAAATAGTACGGTAGAATTTCACGGACGTTTCGGAAGATCAAACTGCACCCGCAACGTCAATTACTTTCTATCGTAAATCTATCTAACGGGAAACTTCCTGGGGGGTAAAGGGCGCCGGCGTGTAAGGCTGACCTCACCGCCATCTGTGAGCCGACTGTCTACAAAATGTGAGAGCCTCGACGTCTCACAACCCTATGAGCCTCCAAGGCCAGCTACAGGGATTACTTACTCATGGAGCTGAGCCCTTCTTGAGGAGCCGCTAATTGTGCAGCTACCCAAGAACTTTCCAGCATTTTATGGAACCCGAAGGTTCATTACCGTGTTCACAAGAGCCCTCCACTGGTCCCTATCCTGAGCCAGATCAATCCAATCAATACCATCCCATCCTATCTCTCTAAGCTCCATTTTAATATTGTCCACCCACCTATGCCTTGGTCTTCCCAGCGGTCTCTTTCCTCGTGGCTTTCCAACAAATATCCTATATGCATTTCTCTCCTCCATTCGTGCTACATGCCCTGTCCACCTCATTCTCCTTGACTTGATCATTCTAATTATACTTAGAGAAGAGCACAAGGGATAGTTACGGGGATAGCTTTACCTTTTTACCTTTGCCTACATGACACATGTCAAAGATAATAATGCCCATGGATTTTAGGAGTTCTAATCGAAACACCCTTTTTTTTTAATCGCTCGTCTCCATTTTCACAACACAAACGGCAACACACAAGAACAACCCAACACGGCTGAGTGTCATTAGCATAAAGTGATGGTAGTTTCGATTTTACTCACTAGGGTGCTCTAAGAACGCCACTTGTTTCAGAGGTTTAGGCAAATGAGGGTTAATGTTCTTTTGTTGGACAGAGAGGGCGCTGTGCAACCCTTATCTGCAACCCTCAGGCTTCTCACAGCGTTATAAATGTAGCCACCCAAACCACAATCAACTTAGAGGAGACAGGAAAGAAAGAAATGCAGTTGAATAAATATGAAAACAAAATTGGAAAGTTCTTTGTAATTCTGCGTACATATTCAAAATTTCTTAATAGTCAGAATATTGCAATAGGTTTGTCCATATAAAGAGAATGGACAGAGCTGTGGTACAAGTAAACAAGCAACGCTTTAGACCTGCACTTTGGAGGTGTTTGGTTCTAATCTCGGCTGGAGCATTGTAAATCGTGAGTGATGTCTTTCGTGGTTTCCTTAGGTACCTTCATGCAAATATAGAGTGTCCGGATGAATGGGTATCCAAAATAAAAAATGTATATCTCGGAAACTGTCATACACGTGTCCGGTTTATGTCATCGGAAAGGAAAACTCTGAGGTTCATGCCTGGCTTACGCGCATGCGCCGCCACATTTCTGCCACCATGTTAGGGATCACCTGGACAGAGAGATGGCTGGGATATGAACTGGCAGAGGTGGACAAATGGCTTGGCCTCCTAGGTCGCCAAATTTAACCCCAGTGGATTTTTTCTTGTGGGGTTATGTGAAGAACATTAAGACCTTCAACACCTGAAAGCCCGCATAAGGGACGCTGTCGGTACGGTAACACCAAACATGCTGGATCGTCTGGATATTTGTCGTGCTACCAAGGGAGCCTACATTTAAATTTATTGAGAAAGTTATATACACAGGAGAAAAACTTTGATAGTTTCCCTTTGTAGTGCTGTAACCCATTAATGTGTATAATAAATTATTTCTGAGATACTATAATGATTTTATTTTGGATACCTTTCATCCGGATACCTTGTATAAGGACAATGCATTAATTAGAGTGTCTGCTTCTTTCCAAATCATTTCAGGTTCACAGTTCTACATAACATCCGACGATATGTGGTTTGCGATACTAAAACCACCGTAAAATGAACAACAGAGAGAAATAACGCTATCAAAATTTAGATTAAAGGAAAAAGAAGCATGTGATGAGCCAGGAAAAGATGGTTCAGCCAGGTACCAGAAGACGTCAGTAACAGAAGGAAAAGCTGCAAAAAGGCCTGCTGGAAGGCGACTGCAGATTTTTCGTCCATCGGCCAGTAAAAGATGGTAAAGAATCTAAAAGATAAGAAGATATGAAGTCGAAACTTATTTTTATGTACACTTCATTAACACTTTAAAGACTGATTGACCCTCTCCAGCATAGTGATTCTGAGTTCCGAATTCCGAATTTTACTGTTTGAGGACTTGCGGAGCCTTCGGAATCCTCTTGACTCTTACTCAGACTCCTAACTTATATAAGATCAGTCCGTACCTCACAGGAAACACATTACGTCACCGCTACAGAGACCAAAATGGTTAGTGCTGTTTATTGTAAGAACCATACGGAACGAATACACTGTGTGGGCAGAATGCAGGGCTTCAGTATGTCAAAACTGGTGGTACATATAGTGACCAGTATATTAACAGATTATGTTATTAATCACATCTAATTCCCAGTGTGAAGATTAAAATTACATTCACAAGACAACTTATAGTTCACAGACTAAAATCCAATAAATAGACATCACAGCATATAATCTTCTTGTTGAATGTGACGGCGTGTACCAACATTTTGGAGGAACTTGCTGCCTCCATCTTCAGGGCAGAATAACTTTTATGTCAAAACCTGAAGATATGTGTAGCAGGATTCTCCGAAATGTCTGTGTCTATCTACGAAACGACGGGGCATCACATCCCAGAATACGGTTACGGCTGTGAGAACCTCAAATCTTTCAAAAATTGCGTCCAAACGCGTTAAAAAACTTCGGGTATGAAATATGCAGACCGAACGAGAGACAAATACGATAGCCACCATTAGGATTATTTTCCAGGAAGGGGAAGTGGGGCTCCAGAACGTTTGTAGACTTACTATTAAGCTGATTAAAAATATTTTTTACGGTTTGCCCTAGAATCGTGGGTCTCTTTATTGAAACACAGATGACGTCACAAACTCCATTCAAAATCATTTCGTATCAATATTTGGTATAATTCCTTAATTCTTTCAGTTTTGATTTTTTTTTTAATTCACGCGAAGGCAGACGCCTTGCTAATCCCTCCCACCTGTCGAAGCCCATGGACACATTTCCCAAAATATCCTTTCATACTTTAAACGTCGATCAAAATCCCGTGATAATATTCACGGGATTACTACGAGTTATGTTATGCTTGTCAATGTAATATGCCAAATATAATGGCGTTCATAAATCCGATATCGTAATCCTGTTTGTATATTACTTTAGTAACAAACTCACCCATTTGCCTTTCCTGCCGTAGACGGATGTGTTAGCAGAATTATTTCAACCCCAAACCGAGACGCCGATATAACGACGAATATGGAAATCAGCATACACGAAAGCCATCTTCAGGTCCTGCCAGCCCTTCTGTACACTGAAATGAATAATTCCAACAAACCGCTACAGTACTGATGCCAAGAAGAGACAAACTAATTAGAAGAAGAATTCATTACCAACTATTTCTACAGGGTGATTCATACAAAACCGTAAAGTAATACATAACACGCCAGATGCTCTTATCTAAAAACATTGTCAAAATCATGACTTGGCCTACTGTCCTCTTGGATATGACGCAGTTTAGTCCTGTAGAAGTTCACCAATGCTTCACAGGAACGTCCATGTTCAGGGTCGAAGAGTAAGGTAAGCGAACCATCAAGTAGCAAGCTGCAAGCACAGCTCTCCTTGTTACACCTACTGGTCCTTTCTGTTTTCTTTTCTAGACCTATTTCTGAACTAGGTTTTCCTAGAGCTGCTCGCTTCTTCGACCCTGACAATGGCATACGTTCCCCCCCGGAATGCAGATGAAGTTCCAGCGGAGGACAAGATGTCACACCACAGAAGATGACTGTGAGAACACCATATCCAGCATGGTCAAGATGATTCATGGTTGAATTATTAACGACTGATACCATCTCCACCAAATTTTCTGAATATGCATGTTCATTTCATGCTCAATGAAATGTAACGTAAACTGCTATTTCTGTACTGTTTTAAATGAATCACCCTGTACATCTTGGAAATTTGTTCACAAATAAAATAACTATTAATGAAGACATAGAAACCGGGATAGCTCAGTCGGTATAGCGACTGGCTACGGGCTGGACGATCGAGAGATCAGAGTTCGAGTCCCGGTAGGGTCAAGAATTTTCTCTTCTCCACAGAGTTCAGACCGGGTCTGGGACGCACTAAGCCTCCTATCCAATGGGCACCGGGGGTAAAGCGGCCAGGGCGTGAAGCTGACCACACCTCCAGCTAGTGCCGAGGTCACGAAAATGTGAATCTATACATCTCCCCCATACGCCTTCATGGCGTAGTACAGGGGCAACTTTACAAATTAATGAAGACAGCAGATTCCAACAGAAACATTTATAATGTAACTTATTTTACAACGCTGTTTCAACAGCAAAGGTTCTATATAGCATCGAAAAAACATGAGATATTCAGGGATGGTGAGTGTGTACGGATTTGAAAGCAGACAACCGTGTAATTTAAGACACTGCGAGTATAATGAAATTTTTTTCCTGGAGACTTTGAGAGCAAACACAGACACATCAGGAAAGAGAGACTACGATAGTGCCGGGATTCGAAACGTGTACCTGCCAACGTTATCACCCGGGTTATGGTATCAGTTAAAGTGCTACGGTCGTGACATATCGTGATAGATGGTGTTTGTGCCCTGTAATATCAGAAATATGGCTTCTCCGTTCACTTCGGTTTTTCTAGATCTTACACATTCGGTAGGACTCCTTGGGCGGGTGATCAGCTCGTCGCAAGGCCTCTACCTGTATACAAACACAGAAAAACGCACATAAACATCCATGCCCTGAGTGGGACCAAACTAAATTCCTTTCTCGAAATGTAGAATTCAATTTTAACCACAGCACAAGCAAACAGCACAACATTCTAGGATGTATCGTCGCAGTGAAGCAGATGATCAGTGCCTCCATCCTCAGGGCAGAATAGTAACCCAAAGTATACAACCAGTCAAAGCAGCAGAACTGGAATATAGGTTCCCACATCAGTCTCTATAAAGAACACTAATTTTTCGGATGCAACACCATGCAAACTGTAGGTGCACACCGACATTCGGAGGAACGTACTACTGCCATCTTCAGGATATAAAAGCAATAAACCAGCAAGAGGCAGACAGCACCGAAACTTGTTGAAATTCTACTTCACTAATGGCATTACATCCCAAGTTTCATGCTAGTTTCTTACCTGACTTATTCTTTCACCCTGAAGATGGAAGCAGTATATTCCTCCGAAACATCGATGCATTTGTACAGAAGTATATGACATTACATTGCACTATTCATAGTCAGCGCTGCCTCGCATCCAACACAGTCGATACAAATTCAGAAAATGTGTAACATGAACATGTTCACTGATGGTACGTGGAGAAACACTAAACATAATGATTACAGATATATTTGCGCGTGATGAATAAAGTCGGGGTTGACAGTGAAAGTGTTAAAAGGGCTCTTAAATCGGCGAAGACATTTCTGCCCATAACCGAATGGTAAGGTTTTTAACAAATATGAAATGTCCAGTTCACAGCACTGAAAAGGGTTAAATGAAATTCAAAACCTGCAAAGGAACAAAAAGACCAATTGCTTACACTTGCTTGAGCCCTCATCTTTATGTATCCTACCGACAGATACACACTTTGCGTCACCCGCGGACACATCCCCTGTGATCACTACACCAACTCATCTCAGCACTGAACACTCTGGTCTGGTCCAGGCGCTAAAATCCACGCATTCTGCCATGCGCATCAACCCACACACCCCTCCACACACCCCGCCACCCTATATTTGACCTACAAACCCTAACCATCAAGATTCATAGCACCCCATTCCACCTGTTCATGTCTGCTTCGACATGAAGAAATATGATACACAACATTCACGATACTGCAAAGCATTTTTATATAAAACTTGCCAATACTTGATACCTAAATATATATTTCAGGATATCGCATAACACGAGAGAAAAGACATATCTTCCATATACATATTATAATATATCTGCTGGTCGTAGTCTTAGGGACACTCGCTATTTACGCGCTGCGTCTTCGCACATACGCGGTTCGTTCCTTGAAGGAAAAATGAAACTAAAAAGAGGCAGTCACAAAACTACTGATTGTTTCCCAGCTCCAGACTTACAGAATGTAAACGGATAAAGTACAAGAAGAAAGTTTAGGTTTCTCAGCGCCAAATTCGTAATATTCAGAACATATGAAAGGATTCCATTAAACGTCTTCACTATGGCCCTGGGGTCGACTCAGCCTCTAACAGAAATGAGTACCAGGAATCTTCCTGGGAGTAAAGGGCGGCCGGCGCGTAAGGCCGACAACCTCACCGCCATCTGTGAGCTGATTGTCTAGAGAAAATGTGGGAGCCTCGACGTCTCACAATACTGTGGGCCCCCACGGCCTGTTACAGGGATACCTTTACTTAACCTTACTTAGAGACTTGGATGTAAAGCTGTGTAGTCCAGTAGAAGGCCACCAACGTTTCGAAGGAACGTACTGCCTCAATCTTCAAGCCCGAAAAGTAAGCCACGCAATAAACCAGCATGAAGCAGACAATAAAAGAGAGCAAAAATTAAGGCAGAAGCACACAGACGTTTCGGAGAAACATCTTGTCGGCTTCTTCTTTAACTTTCTCTTCGACCATGATGATGGAACCAGTACGCTTTCCCGAAACGTCGATGGACTTCTACCGGGCTACCCGGTGTGACACCCCAGAAGACAATAGTCTTCAAGTATAAACATATTTCTTAATCTTAGACGCTGTTCCTGGCCCCAGCTTTTCAAACCACAACGTCCCAGAAATTTATTTTGTTCCGTGATATTACGCCGTGTAGTTTGGTAGAATTTTACCCATGTTTCGGAGCCAAGTACTGCTTCCAACTTGTTGGTTGGAAGAGTAACGGAAGCAAGCAAACGAACAAGAAACAAGCAAAACGTCTACGCTCAAGCCTAACATGGAAGGGGTTAAGCTCACAAACTTCCCTTCTGTTAGGGAGGAATCTATCCCCATTTTGAATTCCCATTACAATCATTGCTTTGTATGGACATTGTTCAAGTGGTAAAAAAAAGGGTAAAGTTATACCTGTAAGATTTTAAGGGCGGAAAATTTCAGGGAACAAGTCCTCCGGGAGGGACTTTAAGCCGTGGGTCCCGTGTCGTAGCTTTACGGCAGGTAAAAGAACCTCATGTCTCAAGGGGACCACTGAGCCAAATTCAGGACATTTCCCGCCCAACAGTAGTCTCTAACGCCTCTGGTAGATGGGGGAAGCATCGAGATACCGCTGAGCCAGTAGAGGCCGAACTCGCTGGCTGAGTCGGGACTGATGGCACGCACCAGTACCGATAGGGAATAGAGACTGGTAGAATATCATAGGGGGACGCACAATGGACCAAGAGTTGGTCTAAGTGCATGGGGAAACCCACCCTCTCCAATACAATACAATACACCTGTAAGAGGCCATGGAGGGCCACAGGGTTGTGAGACGTCGAGGCTCCCACATTTTCTAGACAAATCGTTTCATAGATGGCGGTGAGGTTATCAGCCTTAAACGCCGGCTGCCCTTTACCCCCCCCCAGGAAGGTTCCTGGTACTCATTTCTGTTAGAGGCTGAGTCGACCCCAGGGCCATAGTGAAGACGTTTAATGGAATCCTTTCATATGTTCTGAATATTACGAATTTGGCGCTGAGAAACCTAAACTTTCTTCTTGTACTTTATCCGTTTACATTCTGTAANATGCCCCACGTTTATGAGGTAACAAACATTTACATTTTGTTGGTAAATTAAGTGGGGTAGAGGAGGGTAATGGAATGTTCGTAATTTTGCAGTAAAAGCATTTCTATGTATCAATTACTGTCTCATATGATATGGACGGTTGGACACTGTGACATTCTGCCGCTCCTGAGTCCGAGTTAACGCCACGGTTGACATGCAAACATTTTCAAAAATTAATGGCGCACAGTTTTGCTTTTAGTTGACTAGTTTGCAAAAGTTCACGGACACGTGAGAGACAGTAGCGATTCGAAATAACATTTGTGACATAATTGGAGATCAGATTAATTTTGGAAAATGATTTCTTGTTTCCACTTCAGACCCTTAACCTTATCTTCTCCTGTCCAGTGCCGTGAAGACTGAACTTCAGATGCCACTTCACCCGTTCTTCGAAATTAAATTTGTTTATCTCACTCTGGGAGACGCATATAGGTCATGGATTCGATCCGAGGACCTGACAGCGGTGTCTATGAAGAGTATTATCTTCAGGACCAGGAAGAAGATGGAAGGAAACGAACCATACCGACAGCAATACAAACAAAACAAAAACAAACTCCGTGGCTTTAGTCCGCAAGCGAACTATACCGACCGAGCGACCGCCGCTTGTCGGCAAAGTTAGTGATAACTTTATTGGATAGAGGGTGTCATGTGGTCAGCGCAACGGACTCCCACGGCCGTTAATCTCGGTTTTCTAGACAGGAGTCATTATTTCCTTGAAATAGCTCCTCAATTATCCTCATGAGGCTGAGTGGACCCCGTTCCAGACCCACTACTTCTCAGAAAGTCTGGTAGCGCCAAGAATCGAACCCGAGACCTCTGGACCTGTAGTTAGGAACTCTTGATCACTAGACCACAGAGGCGGTCATTCAACAATACTGAGCATAAAAAGCATAATTCGTTTCTAGAACACCCGAATTCATAATTATATAACACGCAATATTATGGACTGGATAACTCAGTCATTATAGAGACGGGTTACGGACTGGGGTTCGATTCCCTGCAGTAGAAAGAGAATTTTGTTTTCCTCACAGCGCCCACAGAGCCCCCTATCCAATGGGTACCGAGGGCTCTTTCGCCAGGGGTAAGGGGGCAGCGGCGTGAAGCTGAATTAACGATAGTGCTATAGTTACTTTTAGTTACGATCTGTAATGTTCAATACATCCAGTTACCAACATGAGCCCCTCTACAGTCACTATATCAAAGTTGTGACAATATATTATAAAATATAATTGTGTAACGGATTTGATCAACTCATTGCCACGCAACGGCTCCGTAAACACGGTCCAACACGCAACAATAGAACAAAGGGGTTATGCAACCAGTTTCTGGGTAACGTTTCGGTAAACGCACTTCCACGCAAGTGCAATGATGTCACCACAACTAGGTGCGTAGCAATCACGTGACTTGCGCTTTCTTTGTGGTCTGCAGTAGAATAGTGTTTTCTGCGTTGTTCGTGCAGCGGCTATATAACGCGAGTCCGCTTGCAGCTGAGGTCAAATTTTAGTTGAGTTCCGATGTTCTAGTGTAATGGAACAATAGAAAGAAGACTTCACAGTGATTTGAAGTGCTAGTTTCTGTGTTAAGAACCATTGCCAGGCGACGACTATTGGAAACTGAGAATCCTAGTGCGTGTACAATGGTGAACTGCAAATTATGTAAATATCAATAGAGCTTTATTAATTGTAATTAAAAGATACTGTAATCGAAATGTCAATAAATCCAACCATCCAAACTAGAGCCCGTCATTTTCGTCACGCGTACCCCCGTACACATGACAATATTATAGAAAAAATAATACCAAACCAGCTGGCTTAAGCAGTGAAGCTCCTGAACAAAAGAGAATTTTCTTCCGTAAGGTTGGCTACTCAAGATATGACGTAGTCACAGAGATGCTTCAGACAGAGTATAGCTAATAAGTTCGTTTCTTAACACCATGATGATGTGTTGTAATGAACAAGTACGCACATACTAATGCCAGAATATAGGTATACCTGTCCGAAAGTTATTCCAAGTGACATCGAATTTTGGGGAAAGTTAGTAATGGAGGCGTGACAGGTACTGTCTCGACAGACACTGTGTCACAGGGAATTGTGTCTTAATGGGTTCCAGCATACAGAAATCTGAAAACCGTCACAGTCACCCGTTGCAACTCTGATATTTTGAAATAGCGTGACAGAGAAAACAGAAATGTAAATTTCATGCAAAAAGTTCCAACAGTTTCCGTATGGATGCCCCTATTAATACCTACTGAATTGACAGATTTTCATTAAACTTCTTATGAATACTTCAACATTCGAATTTCTCACAGCGGTGGTTATGTAGAGTTCAATCTTCTGGGTTATAACGGCGTTTAGTATGTTGAAAGTCCACCGACGTTTCGGAGGAGATCTCTCCTTCACCTCCAAACTAACAATATTTAATTAATAATAAAGGAAGCAAAAACTATTCGACTGAAATTTCGTAGGGAGATAAATCATAAACGTGCCTACATATTATATATGAAATGTTGCTTCTAAGTGAAATTACAAACATGGCGACGACGCGAAGCATTGAAGGTAATTCCGACAAATTTAACGTGGAAAGGATCTATACTTATTTTAAGTTATTCGCAAATATAAAGTGACAATAACAAAAGTGCCAGAACTGTATTTTTTTCACAGATCTGGTACTTTTGTTATTGTACTTGTGTTTAACTAATTAAGTACTACGCCATGAAGGCGTATGGGGAAGTGGATGTATAGATCCACATTTTCCTGACCTCGGCACTAGCTGGAGGTGAGTGGTTAGCTTCACGCCCCTGCCGCTTTACCCCCGGAGAAAGAGCCCTCGGTACCCATTGGATAGGAGGTTGGGTGGGCCCCAGAGCCGGCCTGGACGACGTGCTGAAG